ATGCAGTGTATCTCAACTACCTCATTTGCTGTGATCATCAACGGGGGCCCATCTACTTTTTTTAATGCCTCTAGAGGTCTCCGACAAGGGGACCAGTCCCCTCTTCTTTTTTTAATGGTGATGAAGCTTTTAATGGCCTTCTGACAAGAGCGCTGGATTTAAAGTTTATTAGGGCAATTAGGGTGGGCAGGGGTGATAATTCTTTGGAGGTTACACATCTGTTTTTCGCCGACGACACTCTGATTTTCTGTCAACCGGATGTGGACATTTTAAGGCATTTAAATTGTGTTTTGTTATTTTTCCAAGCTGTCTCTAGCCTGAGTATTTTAAGCAAATCGGAGATGGTCAGTTTGGGCGACAGAAGTGATGAGGCCAGGCTGGCTGGTGTGCGGGGTTGTAAGTCGGTTAGACTTCCCATCAAATATTTGGGTCTTCCAATTGGGGCCAAATTTAAAGATCTGAAATCTTGGGATCCAGTGGTGGAATTGTTTGAGAGAAGACTCGCGGGATGGAAAAGAAATTTTTTGTCGAAGGGAGGAAGATATACTTTGATTAGAAGCACCTTTACTAACCTTCCAATATACTATCTGTCCTCCTTTACGATCCCTGCTAAAATTGCTCAGCAATTGGAGTCTATTCAATGCCGTTTTTTATGGGGAGATGAGGAGGGATCCCGAAAATATCACCTTGTTAATTGGGGTGACATAAAGAAACCTGTTGAACAAAGGGGGCCTTGGAATAAAATCGCTTACTGATCTAAATACTGCTCTTAGGGCGAAATTGTTATGGAGGTTCCTCAAAGATGAAGATAGACCATGGAGGAAGGTTATTTTGGCAAAATGGGAAAATATTCTGGACAGAGAGGGCATGGCAGAATTAGGAGAAAACACGGTCTTGGTCTGTGGAGGAAAATTTTGATGGATTGGCACAAGTTCCAGAATTGTATTGAATGGAGGCATTGGTTGTAGCGATAAAATCAGATTTTGGAAGGATGTTTGGATTGAAGGGGGCTGTCTCATGAGCCGTTTCCCAAAATTATTTGAGATAGCTCAATCTAGAAACATGGCTGTCAAGGAGGCGTATAGGGAGCACAATGAATGACACCAGATGTTGGGAAGTGAATGTTTGCAGAAATTTGAACGATTGGGAAATCCAGAATTACCAGAATTTTCTGCGTATTTTGGAAGCGCAGAAACTGAACAACTCTGCTGACTGTTTGAAATGGAGGCTGAATCAGAATGGGGTATTTGCTGTTAAGTCTTATTACTGCTAGATCAGGGGTGAAGGGGGTGACAGAATCTGTAACTTTCTAGCAAAACAAATTTGGAATTCTAGAGTTACTCCCCAGGATTTGGTTTCTTTGCATGAGAGGCAGCTAGGGAGATGTATTTTGACGCAAGATAAATTAGTATCGAGGGGTCATTTTATTGTCAACAGGTGTTACATGTGTTTGTCAGCTGAGGAGACCTGTAATCATCTTCTTTTGTGGTGTCCTGTGGCTTATGAACTATGGAGTATGTTGTATGGGCTTCTGGGGCTAAATTGGGTAATGGCTGGTTCTGTCAAAGAAGAAATATGGGCATGGAGTGGGTTCAGACTTGAAAATGATTGCAACAATTTGATTCCTCTCACGTTAATGTGGATCATCTGGAAAGAAAGAAACCTTAGAGTTTTTGAGGGAAGGGAAACTCTGGTGAATAGATTGAGAGATAGGTGGTTTCATTTTTTTGAAAATATGTTATTGGGGTGTGACATGATGAGTAGAGTAGATTTTGGGATTGTCATTGATACCCTCACTAGAATGTAAATTTACTGTGCATGGGCGGTGCCCCTTTTGGTACTTTGTTTATAATTCCACATTAGCACTTTTTATTTCAAAAAAAAAAAAACTTTTACTTGAAAAGAACAAAGATCACTATCACTTTACTAATCTAGAATCCTACAGTTTCCTTAATTTATCTTTTTTTACATATTTGGTCCTGAATCATGTTTTATCTTCATGGTTTTCCAGATGGCAAAGGAGTTGGATGCAATATTGGATCATGGAGAGGCTAATCGCGCTGGGAGTTGTGTAACTGAAAATGGTTCTGTGTCATTCCTTGAGCAAATCATTTGTCCTATATATGATACAATGTCAGCAGTAAGTGAATCATTGTAATTTTTTTTTTAATTTTTGAGAGATTTTCCCATATATTTTATTCTTTGTGCAACTTAAAAGTCAGAGTTCTTTTATTAGTTGAGGCTTGCATGTGAATTTCTTATATTGATAATTTGTGAGCAAATCTATGTGGCTATGTATCTGAGCTTGGATAGGCTTTGCCCTGCAAGTCTTTGATTATGATTTTTGAAAGTAGTCTTGCTCTTTGATAAGCAAGAAAACTTAGGCTACATATGTTAAAAGTTGGGTATAGTTCGTTTATATGGTCTCCTGATCAAGAGTACTTTTTATAATTATGATAAATTTTAACATTATAAACTTTACAGTCTTAGAGATCTATGTGAATACTCATTGTTGAAATAGGCCTTTTAACTCTTGGGATGATGGGTTTGGATAAAGGTTGTAATGGTGACAAACAAAAGTTAGAGGCCATCATCATAATCCGATAGATATTTGAATTGAATTATTTCTGTTTTCTTTTTGGTAGCTAAAACTCCAAACAGTGCACTGAATTTCTGGTTTATAAATAGCATTTGCCATCGTGGCTGTTCTTAATAGGCTTGACGTTAATCATCAGTTGCAGTTTGCAGACGTGACCGTGCTCTCTCCTGATTTTTGTGTTGTATGCTTCAAGATGGTCGGGTTCCCATTTTTAATATTTTTTGCATTGTGAGGTGGCTTAAAGATTTTAGGCTTTTTGATACGATTGGCATCATGTTGTTTCCCTTTCCTCCCTTAAGTATTTAAGCTACAGTGCTTTAGAGAGGAGTGCTTTTTGTTGGTATATGAGTGTTGTGACTGGAGTGCAATGCTAGACTCTTAAGAGGATCACTATTTTCCTTTGTTTTTTACCTTGGAAACAATGGTTTTCTTTGCTTCCTTGTGGGCCAAGACCTGTGTTTTTTTAATGAGCTTTGTAAGGGAATTTCTTATGTTATGATTTTGAACCCTTTTCTTTTCTTTTTGATAATATTTCATTTTTCATAAAAATGCATTTCTGTCGTGGCAACTGCTTCTTTTTCTAAAAAAAGCTGCTTCTTGCCTTTTGACTCTTATTCTCATTTTTCTTATAGAACAATAAGGTGATTGGCAAGTTGTTTTCACTGTCAAATTTGTGCAAGATGCTATTGGATAATTTCTTTATCATCCTTTATTTCTTTCTACTGCGCACAACTCTTTAGCTTTTCCCCTTTTTAGATATAAACTATTGGCACCTGGCAACTAGAGTGCTGTCCATGTAAGGAAGTGTTGATATAGAATTAGATTTAGTCAAAGAATTTATTAGATGTATAAAACACTCCTTCGATTAGTAGGGAATGGGCTTTAAACCACATATACAGAGTTTGCTATCAATTATCATTTATCACCTTTCTTTAGGGTTTTGTGGTTATTTCTGGCCTTTGGATCAATTTAAGTAAATGTGACCTGTGGCATTAACGTTGATGATCAAGTTGTATATAGGTTGGTGGATTGATGGTTGTGAAATCTTTAAGTTGTCTTGTTACTTAATTAGAGATACCATTTGGGGGAAATCTTTGTGCAAGAACTTTAGATTTGGTGATTCACAAGATCTGTGAAGAGGCTAGGCAATTGGAAAAGCACATTCTTTTTTTTTCTTTGGGCTTTGGGTGTAGGTGACCTTCATTCAAGCTTGTTTGTCCAGTATTCCCTTTAATTATCTTTTCCATTCAAGCTTAGTATTCCCTTTTACTTTTTTCCTGTTCAATATTTCTCTAGGAAATGGTGGAAAAGATTAAAAAAACTATGAGGGTTGACTGGCGTCAGTTGGAAGGTAAAGTATCACTTTGTGAATTAGAATATCTATTGTAGAGCTAAAGAAAAAAGGGGCTTGCATCTTTGAAGTTTGTTCTCCAAAATTTTCACTGTAGATGCCAAATAGCTATGATGTTTTCCCCTTGAGCCAATGGCTTTGTGGCATAGGGCGATAAGAAGTATAGTCTTCATCAGAGAGGAGCGCACATGCCTCATTGTGCTTGTAAATCTATCTCTCAAGTATATTCTTATTTTCGTCCTCTGCATTAATTGAGGGTGGGGGACGATGCTCATTTCGTATTTTGGAAGGATATTTGATTGGGAGAGTCCCCTCTTTGTAGGTTGTCCTCATGTCAAAATGATCCTATTGCTTCGTTTGGTTGTTTGACAAGGTTATCATTTTACTTCTAATTTCTTTTTTTTTTTCTAGGGACTTAAATGATAGAAAGCTTGTGAGGATGGCCTACATTAATTGCTTAAGTTTTTTCATTGTTCCGTTGTTTCTAGTCTGTAGGATTTTCCAGTTAATTCTTTAGTACTAGTTTTTCTTTTCACCTTCTTGACTCATATCTTTAGGGCTTTTTATTTGGTTTTTACTAATTACTTTTGGAATGTAAAAGTTCCCTTAAAGGTTAAGTTCTTTATCTGGACTGCAGTATTAACACTGGTGACTTACTTTAGAGATGACTAGATAGATCGACTAGATAGATCTATTTCCATGGATATCTATGAGATGTATTACAGGGTTTCCGAGACTAATAACCACTTTGTTTAGTTGTTCTTGTACAATTAGATGACTTAAATACTTTGAAACAAGTTGTTTGTCCTTTTGTGAGTAGTTGTTTTATTTATGAGGTTGTGTGTGGCATAGAGTACTTGGAGAAGGTCTCTCTTTTCTAGATGCTGGGTTTTGTGGCTAGAATGTAATGCTAAATTTTTTAATTTTGGTGTTGCCATACTTCTGTTATTTGGGATGAAACGCTCTTCATCCGGAGCCTTGCTCAATCTTCATGAAAGAAGCATAATGATAATCTTGTACACGCTAGTCTCTAAGCTGATAGGATGAAAATTAGATACGTTGTTAGATTTAATCTTCTTAGGTATCAAAGTAATAAAAATCGAATTCATACTCTTGCCATTAGTTTCCTGAAGATAAATTCCTCTTATACTTTTGTTAGTTACTACACGATTAACTTCATTCATGTTTTAAATCCATATAAGATTCCTCTAACTCCATGTAAATTGTGTCTGAATTATCGACTTGCCAAAAAGTAAATATAGGACAAAGATTCAACAAAAATATTCTGAGAAAGGAGAAAAGCACCCCAAAAACGTATAAAACCGATATGAAAGTATCGAAAACTTGCATTTAAAAAAAAAGAAAAGATCGAAAACTAGTTTGGAGGTAGTTGAACAGGACAGGTCAAACCAGTTGAGAAAGTCA